GACCCCGACGAGGGCGAGGCGGGCCCCCACGGCCCCCCTCCACACCAAGGGCGCGCGGCCTCCCGCAAGCCGGGCGCAAGAGGCGCCCGCCGCCCCTCGGACGCGTTAGCGGGGAAGGCGCCGCCCGGCTCCCCAGCCCTGGTTTCCGTAAGGCTTGTGGCTCCCGAGCTAGCAAACGGACCCATCACCCCATCTGCTCTAGGACTGGAGCAGAACGCGCGGGGGATTCTGGGAGCCGAAGTCCACGCATCGTTAGGGGACGCTGGGCTCCCAGAATCCCCGTTAGGGACCAGGGACTCTTCCCAACCAGGGCCCCAACGCCTGTCGGTTCCTTCACTCCACCGGCCGGGATTCAGGCCCCAGATTTTACACATCCCAAAGGTACGCTAAGAACATTTAATACCTCCCGAATAAAAATTCTCCAGAGCCTTGCGTTTCTCCTTACATACTTTTTTTTTAATCAGCATTCTCCCCCCACTCTGGTTACAGAAACTGCCAGGCAGAGCACGTCCCTGATGAGGGCAAACTCAGGGCGCGCGGCAAAGGAAGTTGCGAGGCTGAAACGGGGCAGGATTTTTTTCTTTTTGTTGAGAATTTGAGATCTACCTTTTTGAAAGAAAAGAACGAAAGAGGGAAAGGAAAAGAAAGAAAGACAGAGGGAAAAGGGGGAAAATGCAAGGGAGAGGTATTTAATTTTAGCTACAACCACCTCAAAAAAAACTCAGAGCGAGGCAAAGGGGGGCGTCAAGGAGCAAGATTGTAAGAGGAAGAGGTTCAAGGTTAAGCCAGGAATATGCCAAAAAGAAAAAAGGGGGGGAAAACCTCCGTTTTCCTGGGGCAAAAAAACTTTTTAACATAAAATCAACAACAAGTAACAACACAAAGTGCAGGTCCCTTCAGGAGCAGGTGCCCCTTGGCGGCAGCCGCCGGGGTCGGCTCTTACATGCTGCCGTAGACGCTCTCGTCGCTGTAGGCGATGTAAAGGAAGAAATCCTCCTCGTGGTGTTCCTGGAATGGGGGGGGGAGATGCTGTTAGATCAAGGCACGGGGGCCCTCTGGGGGCTCAGACGGAGCAACCCACTGCAAAGGGTGAGGGGCTCCCAAAGGGCTCTTCAACTCGGGGGCCCGTCCCGATGTGCACGTTTCTTAGCGTTATACCCCCCCTTTTGTTTGGGAAGTCAGCCCCCCCCCCCGACCCACCACCCTGTGCGATG